CTCTGTCTGTCTCTCTCTCTCTCTCTCTCTCTCTCTCTCTCTCTCTCTCTCTCTCTCTCTCTCTCTCTCTTACTTTCTTTTTCCCCCTCCCTCTCCTAACTCTTGGTGTTTGATTTCAGGGAAGATGGATAATGTCAGTAAGGAGATAAGGTGCGGCCAGTGAGTGATACCAAAATTATTAGATTGAATCCTGTTCCAAACCATCATTGTTGTAAAACGTCTTTAAAATGAAATGATATGGATTTAACACCCCTATCAACACTATTCAGATATTTCAGAGGCGAGAGGGACCTCCGAGTTTAACGTCCAACTTCGAAAGGACTGAGCCAAGTAAGAAATTCGTGTAAATTGCCTGTCCCAATGACACAACGTCAGACCGAGTTGAGGTTCGAACCCCGCACCTGCAACCTCACGATTGCGTGTCCGGTAGCCTGACCACAAGGCTACCAACGCCACCTGCAACGTCTGAGAGTGCTTCAAACATAAAATATATGTTAATAACCTTACCGCCAGTCCCGGATCTGCCACGTCATGTACTGCAAGGACCAGGGTTCCAACCCTGACCAAGTTTGTAACCCAGGAGGCTACCAGGAGGAAGAGAGTGATCACGTGATGTGCATACATCGTTGTCTTGTCCTGTGTGGGTGGATGGGTGGGTGGGGAAAAGGGGAGGGATGGGAAGGGGGGTTATACAGCTAGAAATAGATCATGTACCAGTGACGGATTTAAACTTGATGTTGAAAAAAGTAATAAACGAGGTTAACGCCTCCATCAACACTATTAGGTAATTTAGGAGGAGAAGCCTCCGAATTTAACATCCGTCTCCCATCAGACTGAGTTAAAATGGGTTGAATGCCTTGAATACTCCACAAAACAACCAGACTTCAAAAACACCCAGTCTGGGATTCGAACCAGAGCCATCTGCTCCCAAGTCTAGCATAATACCAAAACCAAGTGAGCCAACGAGACTCCCAAACTCGACAGGAACAACTGAAGAACATTATTGTGGGGGTTTTTTTCTCCCTAAATTTGTTTTATGAATTTGCATCTGAAGGCAGCATTTAAGGCATACACCACAATTACAGGATACCACTGAAGGAAAGGAATTACGAGTGTTTGTAAAAAGTTTCATGCAAAAAAGCGCACTCACTTAACATTTTAAACCAACAGCTTGGGAGGGAAAGGGGGGGGGGGGACGTTTCATGCATGCGTTACACTTTTGTCTTGTCGATTTATGTTTGATAAGTGCCTTCTGGCCTGAACAACTTTAAATATGCACCAAAGAGGGTTTTTTTCTTCTTCTAAATTTCGTGGCAGTGACGTCACTAGTGTCAAACATGAGGGACCTCTTGACCTCAATCGGGATGGCCGGCGCGCCCCCATGTACCTGAACAGTCTGAGCCCCCCACCCCGCTCTTCACGAGGTCTAGTATATTAGAACACACACACACACACGTACACAATGCAAACTCTTGTAGATTTGGTCGCTTTTAAGCACAAGGGGGCTATCCCGAAAAATTCTGTTTTGAGAAAATCGAAGGTAAAGTTTTGGGATCCTTACTCAGTTTCATTAAAATACTAGGAGGGTTTTCTCTTTAACCAAACAAATATACACACCAATGAAATCAAACTTCTCCTTTTGGCAGGACAATTCCCACTCTTGGTGTAGGTCAAGATTTCTGGAAACCCACAAAATTTGGGTTATCCCGCGTGTCCTTAAAAGCGACCATTTCTTCCCAAGACCATCTAGACGTCTCTACATTTCACATGAAAAGTACTCACCCACCTATTGTTCTTGCCCTCAACGCTCCCCCCCCCCCCAATCCCAAGGGAGGGGCACACGTTGTCCCCGTTCGGCTACGTGGGTGTCACCATAGCAACAAACTCTAGTACAATAGTAGTGTATGTAACTTCTTTGGTACGGACCAAACATCTGTCCCCGTTGTTTTAGGCACAACGCATAATTTAGCAAAATTAAATCATTTTTTGCTTAATTTCTGATTATTTTCCTTTGTCATTCTTTGTTAAAATAAACAGAATCGCATAATTTCACATTTTTTGGCTCATTTTGCATAAGTTCAGAACTTTTCTTGCATAAAACGACGGAGACAGAATCATGCTGACCCGACAAACTAAGCAAGTGATTCAACACCAAAACAGTAGTCTTGTAGCTTATACTTTTTTCTTGTGATCTCGGAGAAGCAGAATGCTGAACAGCAAGCTGACGTAAAAACCCATCTGAATCTGATACATCCAGAAGACTCCATCTGAGACAGGCTGGGGAGAGAAAAGGAGAGTGAGTGAGTGTGAGTGTGTGTGTGTGTGTAAGTCTGGTGATGGGGTACGTGTCCGTGAAAGAGAAGGGGCTGAGAGGGGAGAGAGAGAGGGAGGGAGAAGGAGGGAGAGTGATCAGAGAGAAACGGGAAGGGAAGGGAGAGATTTTGAAGAGAAAGGAAATACAATTAAATGTGT